CTTAACTTTTTTTGACTAAACTTTTTTTATTCGCACGCGCGCATCAGTTTTGGGGCTCCCGGAGGATGTCATCCATATAATCAAATCAACATGGCCTTAAGTCAACATCAAAGTCACAAGGTGGCCAAAGGTCCAAGATGTAAGTTAACTTTGCTCAGTTGTTTTTCAGGAGCCAGAGAACGGCAGCATTTTGGAGCACGCCCTTCCCAAGTCAGGAACAGATCCAACAACCCTCTAGAATTTTCCTTGGATGTCAACTGTCACCTGAAGAAAGTACACTTAGCTGCATCTCAGGTGAGTTGTTACATATTGTACATATTTCCTTTAATTAAACACCTTTAATGTGGAAAGCATTTTTTCTGCAATTAAGGTTAACAAGTTAGATGTTCCTTCTTTTGTAACGTTTGCTTGCAGACATTTTCAACTTCGAGATCGATGTAAGTTTGTGGCGTCGTGTGGTGTAGTGGTACATCACTGGACTATGAAACGGGGAGACTCGGGTTCGATTCCGGGTCGTACCCGAACAAGTCCGAACATGCGCCCCGACGTTGCACCCTTGGGAAAGGTACTTTACACGACTTTCCTCACCTCACTCAGGTGAAAATGAGTACCTAGCTTAGGCTAGGGACGTCCCTCGGATAGGACGTTAAATGGAGGTCCCGTGTTTGGGAGGGCCACACCCCACGCACGTTAAAGAACCCACCACACTTATCGAAAAGAGTAGGGGACCTTCCCGGTGTGAGTGGTTCAAACATTACAGTCTGGTCTCAGGTTTGACATCTTTGAAAAGGTGATAGTCACCTGTTATGTCAATCCTTCCACAAATGTGGTAAATCGTCATAAATAAATAAATAAATAAGTTGAACTTTCCTTTCTGATGCTTTTCCAGATCTAAATTCAATCTGGCCACTGCATTAAAAAGCTAAGTTTTAAGTTTTTTAAATGAAGCTAGAAGTATTCTGTGGGACATTAAACTTTTTTGTGTAGTCTAAATGACTATTTGTCAATGATAAGCAATCAGGGGCTTGATCATGCAGGCCTTACATTTTTTTCACTGATACGACTTAAAGGTACAATGTACATTGTATATCAAGATTCCCAACTTGTTTCTTGGTTCCCCCAGTTTTGAATGTGATGTGTACTTACACCTAGCCTGCACCTAGCCTGCACTTAGGTCATGTACATAATTTAGACACAGTGGATACCTTACTGATTTGCTAATTATAGATAATTATAAAGAAATGGTTTCCAAACAGTTTCCACACCACTGCTGGTATGCAGAAGAGAGTACCGTATTACGAAGGCCCACAACGACACTTCAACACACCTCTTTCACAGCCCTTCCACAGCGCGCTGCCAAGGGATATACCTTCCATAGAGCTCTACCGCGGACCTTCCACAGCGCCTTGGCAGCGCGCTGTGGAAGGGCTGTGGAAGAGGTGTGTGGAAATGTCGTTGTGGGCCTTCGTACTATATATACCATCAGCCCTGCTAGACTATGGCAAACTTACATCTGCATAGTTTATCAAATTGAATGTATCAGGCAGACGTTAGATAAACACTTGAACAAGGCATTTATACTGGAATTATCACGATTACATAGCAGAATTTGTGCCTGCTATTTGAACTGCCTCCACAGGTGTGGACTTTGAGTACATTAAGGAGTACATGGGGGATGACTGGTCAGGAGCACTTAGTCTACATATTTTGTAAAATATTGATTTTTTGGAGTGTCCACTTTTTATAACGGTTAAGCCCTGGTCACAACCCACCGTACGTGCTTTTTGTCCGTACGTTTTTTGGGAGACTACGTCTGCTACGTTTTTTCTGAAAACGTGGGGAAGGAGTGTCATCGAAGCACGTCGAAGCACTCGCAAGGTGTAAGAGTGTGGTCTGCACGCCACGCCTAGCCGTGAGCGGTTGCGTGCATCATTCATTGCGCAAGTGGTAAGTGAGTTGTACGTGCTTACAACGTACGATCGATCTCTGTGCGATTGCAACTTGACCGTAAGGAGGTCGTACTCACACGTGCTTCTTCCGTACGGCACGTACGGGGCACGCGCGTCGCTCGTACTCGCACGCACGGGTGGTGAATCCGCAGACCGCACGCAGAAAAAGTTTTACATGCACTTAATATTCTACGGCGTGTCTGCGTGCTCCCAAATCCGTAGGATTCCTTACGGAGGAGGTACTCACCACGCATGGATGCCCTGCGTTTGCCCACGTTTTTGTACGTAGACAGCACGCAGAAGCACGTGCGGTGGGTTGTGACCAGGCCTTTACAGGCGATAGTCATAGGGGACAGTTCATGAACCCTGTCTCTAATCATTAATTCTCCAAGGATGGTACTTTCCATTGGGAATATGTTTTGCAAACGTGTGCATTTATTTATTTAAAGTTTCAATCTTAGTACACATACGGAGTTTATAATATGCTCCATTACTCTGTCGTCTGCGTCTGGCTTATGCTACGGTCACAACCCGCCGTACGTGTTTCTGCGTGCTGTCTACGTGCAAAAACGTGGGCAAACGTAGGGCATCCGTGCGTGGTGAGTACCGCCTCCGTACGGAATCCTACGGATTTGGGAGCACGCAGACACGCCGTAGAACTTTAAGGGCATGTAAAACGTTTTCTACGTGCGGTCTGCGGATTCACCACCCGTGCGTGCGAGTACGAGCGACGCGTGTGCCCCGTACGTGCCGTGCGGAAGAAGCACGTGTGAGTACGGCCTCCTTGCGGTAAAGTTGCAATCGCACAGAGATCGTACGTTGTAAGCACGTACAACTCACTTACCAGTTGCGCAACGTACGATGCACGCAACCGCTCACGGCCAGACTTGGCGTGCAGACCACACTCTTAGGGCCCTGTCACACTTCTGCGAATAGCCATTGCGCATGAGTTGCGTACAGACATTTCTGCCGTACGCACAATTTTGCGGGTACTGTGACGCACATGTAGCGTATAAATAACGAATTCAGCGCATAGATTGCATTTGACATCCGTATGGCGTTTGTATGCATTTCGAAGGCCAAGCGTATTCCAGACGCACTCAACGTATGCCCACCAGGTGCCTAACGCACTTCAAACGAATGCCAAGCGTCTTGTGTGCGTATTCTTGGTTGCTTCCTGATGTTTTATTCGCAATGGGTCCTTCTCATCATGGGCCGCCCTCAACTCAGATAAAGTGTGTTTGTTTCCATTTCGCCCATATCTTGTTAAGTAAGTTAAATACACGTACCCGGACTTGATACAAACATAAAAGTTAGACTGTTGATAGCCTTGATGAATTGGAGATGTCAAGTAATACCCTCCCTTAATAATTTGAAAACGATGAAAACACCCATACTTGCAATACAATTTACAACAACTGGCGTAGTAACCCAAAGTACAGGCAAGAAAAAACAAATATTTCATGTTAAATATGGATATATTGATAATACGCAAAAAGGTCAGTCTATCATAATTTTGGGGAGAGGCGGTACAAGGGTGTTCTTTTGTGTTAACAAGTGTCAAAATGCATTTTTGTAAACATATTGCAATGTAGAAAATACGTTTTCCCAAGGATCATCTACCTTTCAACAAAACATATTAGAAAGAGTCAATCCTAACATATTTATCAACTCATTCATTTTTTTTGTCACATCTTACTTAAAATGCTCCTGGAAGTCTGTTAACCATGGATACCCCGGGTGTAGCCCAGGTGTTCGGCAAGTTTGCTATCTAGATTGGTACGCAACCTTTGCGCTTCTCATTAGTTACAAATACGTACAATGCGCTGTCATGTTGCAATGCGAACGGTACTAAAGCGCTATAAGCACGCAATACATTCGTCCATTGTACGCAGCTTATGCACAGGTGCAGTTCCAGGTGCAGATCAGCGTATGAGCCGCGTGTCCCTCACGAACACATAGAGTACTCATACCGTGCTTGACCTATGCATTGCGTATTAAAAACGCATGGCCTGCGTGACAGGGTACGCAGCGTAGTTTTGGGTATGCTCAAAACTACGCTGCGTACTGAGCCGGGTGGTGCGTGTGCTGTGCGTATGCCGGCGTTCACAAAACTTACACAAAACGACTGAGATGCATATGGAATGCGCATTTTGCGTACGGCTGCGTATGAAAAAATTGTTCGTACGCAACTCATACGCAAGCCGATTCGCAGAAGTGTGACAGGGCCCTTACACTTTGCGCAACCGTGCGAGTGACGTGCGGGTGACGTGCGTAGACGTAACTCCTTCCCCACGTTTTCAGAAAAAACGTAGCAGACGTAGCCTCCCAAAAAACGTACGGACAAAAAGCACGCACGGCGGGTTGTGACCGTCGCTTTAAGAACCGATCTAGGTACCACATAATGCACCTCAACACACAATGCAAATTCAGGTACTAATTGTCACTACATTGACCACTTTGACTTCTCCCACAGTGACAGTCCTTCAGTTACAACCATGGCGGACAAAGATGGGAAAATCCGCCTCCGTCTGGCCGAAGACATCATCGATGACCAGGTGGGCGGAGCCGGCTGGACGTACCTGGACATCGCGCTACCGGTGGACGAGTACTCCCCTAAAACTGTCCTGGTCAAAACACCGAAGTGCGACCCACAGGGAAACATCGTTCTCGAACCCAAGGCTAGACAGAAGACCAGAAACTATCTCGTTCCCAAGGACCCCAGCGCGGAGGATCTTCTAGACAAAGTCTCCGTCCAGGCCTACCCGAAGAAGGCGTCTTGGAAACAGACGTACAACTTAAAGAGAAGCGTGAGCGGTAACGTCAGTATCAAGGTAGTGGAGGCTGTAGGCTTCTCGGCTGAGGGCAGCAAAACGACCAAGCGTTATGTGGAGACCACCTGTACCGATCTGGAGCACAGAAGTGTGGATATAGAAGACCTGAGGAACGCGCTGTGTGCTCTGTCGGCCCAGACCAGCGCAGAGGGGATGAGGGACGAGACCAGCTTCCTGGTGGTCACCGACGTGCTGGTCGCGAAGGACGTCAGCATCGTGGAGACACAGGACGCAAAGCACGACGGGAAGGTATGTGAGACTGCTCTGTATTCTATTCTATTCTATTCTATTCTATTCTATTCTATTCTATTCTCTATTCTATTCTATTCTATTCTATTTCATTCCATTCTATTCTATTCCATTATATTTTCCTCTTCTATTTTTGCAGTGATTGAACAACTCTGTGGCCCAAGGGCTACAGAAACGAAGATAGGCATCGCCATATGCCAATGGTTGCGGAGAAACTTTAACTTCTAACTTTTGTGATTACGTGCAGGTCAGCGTCGACGCTAACATCCACGGAGTGGGTATTGAGGCTGGAGGTGGCACTACTAAAGAGACGGCTACTAGCCTGGAACGCAGCAACACCGGAGGCATCATTCTCGCCATCAAACTGGCCCGAGTCCATTATGACGATCAAGGCACCATAGACAGAGCCGGTGTGCTGGCTGGAGGGAGTTACGATGGGCACTACACCCTGGGCTCCGGTAACAAGGACAGGGAGCGGCATTGTGAGTAGGATGATGTTTACCCAAATACATAGAAGTATGACTTGACTTACTTGACTTATGTCGAGTCCTGGTGTCCCTGGCCTCGAGACAAAATGGCTGACCAACACCCCCTATCTTCCATCACTTGACCCAAGTAGTCCACCTCCAGGCCAGTGTCTCTCCTTAGGCAGTCTATGTAGGTTGCAGCCGGTCTGCCGGCCTTCCTCCTCCCATGCTTGGGAGTCCACAGTACCAGCTCAGCCACAATCTTCTCTCTGCTCCTGTGACAGTGTCCTGCAAACCCAAGCCTTCTTGATCTTATTTTGCTAGAAGTATGAAATCTTCGATATCTTGTTGATATCTGTCTTTGTATAAAATTATGAATGAATCATGCATTAAATTTATGAATGCAGCGCAGCCAGTCGATGATGATGAAATTCACACGAGACCGGGCAAGCCTACGTTTTCTCATAGACTAAGACAGACTTTTTGGCCTAGTTCGTCTCGGACTGACCAAGAGGTCCCGGGTTCGAACCCTGCATTGCCGACGATCTTCTGCACCTGACATGACTTTCCTCACTTCGCTCAGATGAAAAGGAGTATTGTGTTGTCCTCTATGTTGGTGGCACCATAAAGATAAGTTCAACTTGATAAATCTTGAGTGTGCTGTCTCCATGTCTTGTCATTACATGTTGGAAAAAAGACTTTGATCGTTGCCTCCCGTCTTATTACACCGGTGCAATAGCTCAATTGGTAGAGTGCTCGCTTTGTAACCGGGAGGTCGTGAGTTCAAACCCCGGCCGGGTCATACCAAAGACTTTAAAAATGGTACACACTTCTTTATCTGCTTAGCACTCAGCACATATGAGAAAGAGTGTGGGAAGGTCAAACACACAGCACTACCAGCGGACTAGCCCCCTGCTGTAGTGCATTGCACAACTGTGTGTCGCCCAAGGGCTACGAAATGGAGATGGGCACCACCCTACNTATTACACCGGTGCAATAGCTCAATTGGTAGAGTGCTCGCTTTGTAACCGGGAGGTCGTGAGTTCAAACCCCGGCCGGGTCATACCAAAGACTTTAAAAATGGTACACACTTCTTTATCTGCTTAGCACTCAGCACATATGAGAAAGAGTGTGGGAAGGTCAAACACACAGCACTACCAGCGGACTAGCCCCCTGCTGTAGTGCATTGCACAACTGTGTGTCGCCCAAGGGCTACGAAATGGAGATGGGCACCACCCTACGCAAGAGCACGGGAGACCTTCTTCTTCTTCTTCTCCCGTCTTATCACCCCAGACACCGTGACCACACTGGCCAGGCCCATAGGCGAGACAAAGGACAAGTTCGACATCAACGTGAGTCTTCTCGGGCGACAGAACAGCACAGAGGTCAAGGTGCCACAGGACGTCTGCGAAACCGGGTATTAAAAATGATACAGCTTCTTTAATAGCACATTCAAACCTGTGTATGTAGAGATAAGATAGTTCAGCATGCGCCCATTTGAAAGGACATGCAACTTTTACATCGTAGAATTGTTCAGACGATGTTTCAACGTTTATCAATGATCAATTTACACACAGAGATACATGTATATTTCTTTGGATTCACTACAGTGCCACGTGGACTTTATTGCTCCTATATAAAGAGTTGGAGCTTTTTCTAATATTTTCATACAGGCAGTGATAGATGTCATGTTTATAGGTTTGCGTTTTTTGTTTGTTTGTTTGTTTGTATTAGGCTGCATCAAACCAGGAAAAGCCTCCCCACTGGCTCCAAACTGCTGCCATTAAAAGGGATCCAGGTGTCCAAGCTGAAGAAAAAGAGAAACTTCCTCTCTCGCATGAAACATCTGTTTTCCTCAGACGAAGAAGATGACGTCACGCTATCCAAGGTAGGCCTTGAGACGTCATACATGCTCATGCTCTTTTTCATTGTCATGTTGATTGTATTATATGGATGACACCCTCGGGGAAGGATGGACAAAGCTGATGCGAGAATGCGAATAAAAAGTTTCGCAGACGACAAACATATTACACAGTTACCTTCATTATGAAGTCTACGTGGTCATGAAGGTTGGTTTGGCGCACGATAGAATTTTCTTCACATTTTCTTTTTTTGTTACTCCGTGAAGGAGGTCAGGACCTCCGGACGGAGTGTTGTAATCGGCTGATTTTTCATGTTCGCAGTCAAAACACTGGGTTCTCTTTGTGTAATCGGCACGCAATTTTATACGCCGTCTGCGGGCATGCCCGTGTTGATGCACGAATGTGTATTTTTGCCGTTGCTGCTTTCGCGGTCAATGTAATATCGCAGACGCACCCCTACAATTACGAGGCGAATTGGAATGGTCCAGAAAAACGCGTTGTTTGGAATAGCAGTGGGGTTCAAAAAAGTTTATGCAGATACGGGGTGGTTTTTATAAGTGGTTCCAGATGTTTTTGCCCATGGTTAAGAGATGCCAAGTTTTTTGGAAGATGTTCGCAGCCAAAACGCATTCTTCCGTACGTCGCATTTCTGTGTAATTTCGCATGTGGTGTTGCATTATGTCCGGGATGATGCACGTCTTTTTATTTTTACCGTAGCTGTTTTGATATTGGAGTAAATGCTTATTTTCGAAACATCCCCATTTCTTTGAAATGGTTTCGTCCGTTTATGCAACTGTTACTGCGCTAATGACGACCAGTCGCGCTGTCCTGATACACCGCGAATGTGCGAGTGTTCCCTGTAGACAGTCCCGGGAGTCATTTTTTTCGCACATTCCAGGAGCCAAACCAAAATACGTTCATGAACCGAGTCCAAAAAACCGAAACGTGAAAATCGGATGATCGGACCTGATGTACATTTCTCTTTCTATAGATTGTACACACAATACACACATCTTTAGATAATCTGGCCATGGCAGGTTAAAAAAAAGTAACCCTGAATCATACTAGATTAGCGTAAATGCATGTTAATGCGTTCAAAACAAGAAAAAAATTGTTTCCGGGTATTAATCTCTTGAATCACGGCGCTGAATATTGACGCAAAAATATTTCGGGCATCGCGCGCCCTTCCCGCGTCACGTGTAGGCATCTCGCATCTCTGATTGGTTGTTGCGTCTTAAGCTGACTGAGCCGACGCGCGTTTAAACAATTTTTCTTTGTTCGATTTATCACACTTCACAGAGAATTGTCGCCAATGGCTACTTCTTTTTGTTGCAATATATAATACTTCACGGAGAATTGTCGCCTAAGGCTTCTTGTTTGGAATTGATTTTGTCATTCTACGACATTGTATATCGTTTTCCAATGTTTTTTTTGCAATCTAGGCCATATATTTTCTCATTTAGCAGATGTTTTGTATGATTTACAGTATGGTCTTGCAAACTGATGAAAATTCATGCCCGCGCGGATGCCATCCATAGAATCAAGTCAACGAGACCTTTGCAGTCACTGTGGTTTCCATGTACTCATATGCTTCATTCAGACATTAATTGAGTAAATGAAGCTATTCCAAGTATCAAACCACAAGTGTCTGTCAAACCCTAGGTACTGGTGACAGACCTGGAGCAGGACCAAACCTACATCTGCCCCTGTAGCGAGGAAAAGGCCGTTACCGACGACAGGAGTCTGTGGTTTGACTGTAGGCAGTGGAGAGAAGAGGTTGCTGAAAACGGTGAGAAGAACGATGAAATAGGAACTAGACATGAAACAAAACAGATGGTGATAGATAAAGATGATAGAAAATTGCTGGAAGATATTATGCACGATTTCGACAGATTAGAACCACGGATAATTTGTCAGATTACACGATTTTCCTGGGTTTTTTTCAGAGTTTCAAGTGACTGTTTGGGGCAACTCTTACTCCGTGTGCGAAGAAGATCCGATCGTTCGCGTCTATGGTGACCGAGAATGCGAGGACGTAGGTCTTCTGTTTATCAATATATATCACGGAGAGAACAAGTCCCACCGAGCCAATTCCACGTCACCGTGTGGGTTTTTTTCTCCATGTTTCTAATACGTTTGAATTATTTAGAAGAAAAGAATACCCCAGTAACAAAAGTTCTAAATTTTTCAAAAATTTGAAAATGAAAATTGAATATATTTGAATTCATTTATATATTTCTGAAACATTTTGAAAGCGATTGTACAAAGATCTCTTTATTTAGAATAAATTTGAACTACCCATGTGTTTCTTTCACTATTCGAAATATTTAGAAATATTTCAAACAAATAACCAAATGGTAGATGTGGGTAATTGCCCCCATAAATGTAGGTGCTAATCCTACTCTTCTGTATGCTTCTGTATATTTTTAGATTTCACTGCTGGACACTGGTGGTTCTTTTGTTGTAAGGTATCAATGCCTGACACCCAGGCAGTCTACCCTGTACTCCACAGGGATGTATGAATTACTTCCTTTCCATCCCACTGACCTATTTACAAAATGTTAGAAATAATTCGAAATAATGGTAAAAAAATGGTAGAGTGCTGTTAGAAATATTTAGAAACTGTTGGAAATGTCATAATCCACATCAATAATATTTCAAACGTTTTAGAAAACCAGGGAATTATTTAGAATATTGACAAGATGTTCAAAATATTTCCAAATTATGAAATTTCCTAGACAAAAAATTACAAAGAATTCAAAACATTTCTAAATAATGACAATAACAACCCACACGGTGACGCGGAATTGACTCTATAACATAAATTTGTCATTATTTTACCAAACTCTTTAAGAGCAGGGGCAAGTAACGTGGGTATATGCTGTTATGAGAAAATTTAATTTTGCAGCATTATGAAGAACAATCTTTAAGAAGACTCTTTAAGATTATATTAGACTCATCCACATCTAATTTTTAGTTTCTCCATATAAATGAATTCTATAACAAACATGAACTTTTTCAAGGATTTATACCGGTTGTATTTCTAATTGATTGATTGGTTGATTGATTGATTGATTGAGTGAGTGAGTGTCTGAGTGAGTGAGTGAGTGAGTGAGTGAGTGAGTGAGTGAGTGAGTGAGTGAGTGTCTGAGTGAGTGAGTGAGTGAGTGAGCGAGTGGGTGAGTGAGTTAGTGGGTGGGTGGGTGAGTGAGTGAGTGAGTGAGAGTGATTGCGTGAGTGAGTGAGTGAGTGAGTGAATGAGTGATAAATCTGTTGATCTCTACCTTGTTCTAAGGGCCAAATCAGTTGGACCAACCCCGAGGCTGAAAAAGAACCAATAGTAGACTTTGCCAAGGCAGCCCGTACCTTCAAGGACTACGGGATCAAAGCTAACGCCGTCATCGAACTCAAGGGGAGTCCCGGTAATTGCACCCTGCCGTCGGTAGGTAAGTACTATATGTCTTTATACTTGCCAATTAATCATATCTAGATAGTTTCCTACCAAATATCAATACTAAATTACCGTCAATTTAGGAGGCTCTTTGCTCCGATACTGATACAGCTAATGCTTTCTATATGATCCTGTACGGACGGTTTCTTCATTTTGCCTGCATGAAGTCATGTTAACTTGTATCATTAACCTACAACAGTCAGGACGGGGACGTGTGCTCTTGATTTGACCTTCGAGTCCTGTCAAGTGACCCTGCGCGTTGGGGAGGATGAGCGCATCCACACGCTACCGGACAAGGTGCTGTCACTGTTGGTAAGCCATGATATTATTTTGATCCATACTAGACATTACTAGTATTCAAAAACATCATTGAATATTAGATCAGTCTGAGTCAAGAAGGCTAGCTACACCGGGACCAGGACACACCAATCAGCACTCAACAGAGACGGCGGCCGGTATAGACTTCCTAGCACTTTTGACCAATGGCTGATGTCGGTAATGTCACGTGATCTAGGCGATTAGTCACTTTACATCAAGAAAGCTGCATTAGGACACTCGAAAATTCAATACCGTGACGCTAGTTTTTGTCTTGAAGCAAAGTTTTATCTCTGTACTATTTAAAGATGTCCTAATGCTATTGAAAAAAACAAATTTAAACTTCCCTTTGACCCGTAGGATGTGTATCATGGATACCAGAAGGTGACAGACCATCAAAGACTTGATGACCTTCGTCTGTTGTGGGACAACATGATTTTCATTGGAGAAGCCCCGGCAGATCCAAACAAATTTGTCTTCAAGATGCAAGACGTAAATCCTGATGTCACAGGTGACTTTTTACAACAAATTTTCAAGATTATTTTGGTTTAGTTTTCAGTTTGATCTTAGGCAATTATTGATACAAAAATATACAAAATACAAGAAAGGTAACATTTGCAACGCAAATGCACAATGTTTACCTTCACATACATGTCTATGTATGAGTCTAAATCCCTCCTACTATAAAATTGCAACATGATGTAATCCAACACTAGTTACCATGGTGACAGCCGACTGGTTCAGGTCATGACCTTTTGTGTTTGGAGAAGAGGAAACTGAGCAAAAATAATATGCTTTCCTTCGGTAAAATGATAATTTGGACTCAGCAGAACTCGGTCTAAGGTTCGTATAGTGATGTGTGTCATTTCTTTGTATTGAAGTTAGATTTTTCAGCAATACAGTCTTACTTTAATAGAGTACCTTTTCATTTGAATCGATGGTATACTAAGTATTACGTTCTTTAAGTGCAACGTTTCTATTCTCACTAGGGCTTGAGATCCAGGTGACTGTACCGGAGAGCAAGCTGAAGATGTCTGTCCAGAAAGATGACAACGTAGACGACATCATGCGTAGGCTGCGCAGGGTGTATGCTCGGATGGTAGGTTACAAACTTACAGATTCACCACATACATTATAATTTATAGATAGAACATTATCAACTAGAAAAGTAACATTTGCAAAGCAACTGCATAATGTTTACCTTCACCTGGTCTAGCTACTACTGCAATGTTTATTCTTACTCAAAGCCGAATACATTCACATGTATATATATGGTGAGAAGACTCTCCCACTCTGTTCTGCTATATAATGTACCCCAACACCACAGGGTGTTGCTGCAGCACAAGTTAACATGGTGACAGACGTCTGGTCAAGGTAATTGACTTTGTTTGAAATGGAAGAAGAAGAAACTGAGCAAAAGCTGTTTGTTTTTTCTGCGAAGGTAAACATTATTACATTTCCATCGCCTTGCTGTTCTTAAGACTAATTTTACAATTTTCTCCAGAACGTGGTGCATGACGGGAAGGTGATAACGGACCTGACCCAAACGTACCGTCAACTGGGAATCCAGGTCACTGCGCATGTGCAACTGCAGTCTTGGGACCCAGAGAACCCACCCGCTGTACCAACTCTTGAAGGTCAGTAAGACTCGCAAATGTCTTGGGTTATGGTTCAGTAACTAATTACTTAACTAATGCCACAGACTGCACAGTTGTTTCAAGTCCAAACTTCTGTTAGGCCATGTTGATTTGATTATATGGATGACATCCGCGCGCGCATGAATTTTCGGCCGTTTCCAAAAAAAAAGTTTTCAACCATACTGTAAATCGTACAAAACAGTTGCAAAATGAGCAAAAATATACCGTAAGTTACAAAAAAAATTAATAAAAACTATACCAATGTCGTAGAATGCCAAAATCAAACGAAAAAAGACGAAATTGTAAAGAAATGAACTTGAAGACTAGATTATTCGCCAAACCATATTCTGTGCCATTTGCTCAACCCTCATGACCACGTAAATTTCATAATGAAAAGAACTTTTTTTTTTGCAAAACTTTTATTTTATTCGCACGCGCGCATCAGTTTTGGGGCTCCCGGAGGATGTCATCCATATAATCAAATCAACATGGCCTTAGTGACAACAAGTGACCATCTTTGACCCTGGCCCATGTCTATTTCTCTAATCCTAGATTTCATCTCTTAATTAGGCATTAGAACAATGCACACGAACAATGCACAACCGTCTATCCTATATCGTAATCGCATCAACGGTACAAGTATCTATTTTTATCTTGCGATATTCAATGTCGGCAATGTCTGATAAAACGTACGTTTTTGTTTTTTATTCTACTTTCAGAAGTCGAAGAGATCGAGGAGGCAATAGAGTCACTGATACAAGAACTTCAGGTATCGTTTTGCCGATGTTAATTTCTATGTAATATCTTCTATATTTGTGTTCCATATCATAGACTAAAACAGTCCATTTATAACTAAATAAATTAGATAAATGATTAATTTGTTTCTCATTTTAGGGAGTTGAACAGGGGAATGAGGATTCAGACACTGAAAGTGAAGAGCTCATTACGAAGGAGCAGACAGAAGAACAGAACGTCTGGTAAGTTATACTAAGCTCCAGTAAAATCTGTGAAAATTATGATGTGATATTTTAAAATATTTCCATCGCATTTTGGAAACAATTTCGTAGACCGTGCTTTTCGATTAGCTGTTCTTTTTTTTAGACAAAATTTATATGATCGTCTTTTACTGCCTCAAAACAAGAAGTCAGACCCAGCAAAATTAGTACAATGTATGTTGTAGAATGTAGTATAATGTTAGACGTTCATAAATGTTGTTTGTACCTGCAATTAGCCCTCGGGCATGTATTTGCAATAAACTTCTCCATGAATATGTCAAACTAATCGCTCAGTGTTTTTGTGTGTTTCTCCAGGTCCACCGTTCGCCGTATCCTGTGGCGTCACTTGGAGCTCCGGGCCGGAGACCCCGACATCCCGCCCGGGGCCCTGGCGATGCTGATCCGGGCGGTGGGGGAGGACACCGTGGCGGGGGAGGTCTTACAGACCATCCTGGAGGCCGCACTGGAGCGGCAGGGGGAAGGGGGCACGGAGGAGGCAACAGGCGGGGCTGAGGGGGCTCAGTAGGGCGGATAACGTACCCAGCCATTTTGTTCATTTAGTATACCGATCTTTCTACAAACGTATCTGACATATATACGGAGAAAAATGTAGTGTTAGATATATATAAAGTGCTTTGGAGTAAGACAAAGTAGATATGTGATAACATCACTTAACGTTAGTATAGTGTAGAATTTCGAACATGCCAAGTCAGGATAAAAAAATTTCAATTGGTGAAGGGAAAATAGATCTAGAGATCAATTGTAACAACAATAGTACAGATAAGAGGCAGTCCAGTTATGAACACGAAATGATTATCATGGTGATGAGAATAACTAGTATAGAGCACTAGGTAGGAACAGTGTAGTTTAAGGAAGTTAAAGACTATAACAACATGGACTTAGCAAATTACATAAAATATCCTGTTGCAGACGCCTTTAGGTTATCATCTATTGAGCTCCTACAATAAACGCATATTTGAATTCAACCACGATTTCCCACTAGTTTCAATAAAGATATTTCCACCAAGTCAACGATCTACAGAAGCCGTACTTTCTTTCTGTATGTTTCTTATTCCAGGGCACGAAACAATAAGGGCTGTACCTATATTATTTAGTATCCTTTCTCTCTGCTCTCCTTTAATAGACAATACTAAACTATCAAATTACTTAACACGTGACAATATGAGTTACACAACTGTACACATAACATTATATCAATCACCAGAAATATTCTCTCTGGAGTCATAAAAATCACAAAAATATCACATTACGAAGCCTATTAATAAATAAAACATTACCTACACTTACCATAACACTTGCAGTACTTTCATCCTACACTTTTCAGATTGTGTTATATACAACAAAGAAGAAGGGAGCTGACCATATACTTTTCTAGGTCGGTTATTTCCCTTGTTCAATATGTTAAATTCTGGGCTGCTCTGTGACATAATTTCACCACTGGAGTTTGTTACAGGAAGAAAGAGACTTGAAAATAGTGAATTCAAATCTTTCCGAAAGTTTTCTTCATAGCATGAAAACCATTTGAGTTGAGCGTCTATGACACACTTGCAATGCTTTCAACTATCGGTAGACGGCGCTTTCCAGAAAATACAAAGACTTTGAAACTTATATGTTTCCTTCAAGTGATTTTTTGCTGTCCTTGTACATTGGTTGTTAAAAATACAGCTTTATAAATGTTATTCTCCGTTTGTTTTTGTCTTATAAATGCCTCAAAGCGATGGCGTTTTAAATTTGGCGGGGTGTTGCATGCCGGGATATGTTTATGAAATCACGTCCCTAACAACCAAGCGTTGCTATCCACCATCTTGGATTTTCGCTAATGGCGTAAAGAGAGAGGAACACAAGTTGAAGTTTCCAAACTTCTCACGAACGTTTTCTGATGTTCCCTGCGCCTATTTAACACTATTTCATCTCACATCCGTTGTACGGTAAGTTAGAAAGTTTGTTTATGTATCTTTATGGTGTTTGTAGAGCGTTTAAAGTTGTTTTTATGCCTCTTTTGTAGCCTCGCAAAACAAAAATCAGTGTGGGAGGGGGGCGTAACAACCATGGAAAATTACTTGGATTGAGCATTTGCAAAATAATAACAACGTTCACATGGAAGGTATATTTTGGATTTAAATGTCACTTGAAGTACAGAAAGCACCAAAATAAGAAGAAAAAAGGCTCAAAATACGGTGCCAATTGAACAAATTTCTCGTTTAAAAGTTGCGTGCGAATTGAAAGTCTATCTCTCGTGACATACTACTAATGAATTTTTCATTCCTGTTTCAGTAGTACTAGCTAGAGGTTTCAAAAGATCGAGGCCTGTAGTGAATCTATAAATTGCTTTGGTCAGTCATTATCATTGCTTTGGTCGCTGTCTGCCTAGATGACGGTTCGAATACAATGTGGAGCCATAGATTATCATTTATTGATCAGCCACAACTTCGACCAAATACTGTCACCTCTGTCACGACATGGAAAATACTTGCGTGTTGATTGCGTTTAGGCCTCAGGTCTCGAAATTAAAGGTGGTCCAATCGCCACTGACCACTAAAATTTAGGCTGGGACAACTAAAAAGACACTTTTTGGACAATGAAAATAATCATCATCAGAATGTCAGCCCTTCTTTTGTTTATCAGGCACACATCCCGGCTTTTGGATCCGGAAAAGTCCCCCAAATTTCCTGTCTACTCTGCAGTTATAGTGTGCCTGGGAGTGAACATAAGCAGAATAAAGTTGACGTCAAGTCAAAGTCATACAATACTTCCCCCCCCCCCCAAAAAAAAAAACAGGTTGGGACAGTTCATCCTCACTTTGGGACAATTAAAATTTATTTTTGGGACAGTACTGGGACAATATAGGAAGAAAAGTTAATTTCGAGGCATGGGCCTACTTTAAGTGTTAATGTGTCTTTGAATTCTCTTATTTTCATGAAAATTAAAATGATTTTGGGGAAGTTTTCTTGGCTTATTTTGATAAAATTAAGTTTATTATCTATTAGAAAGCTCCTTGATTAGAGGATTCTGATAATTTCCTGAATTTTCTAATGATTCTGAAGTTTTGATAATATTGATAATTACACATCAACAACAAAGTTGTGATAAACAATTCTACTTGTAAACATAGTATTTATGATTTAATAGTAATACACTTCATGATATGGTATGTGAGGTATTAAAAGAAAAGGAGAATTTTGATAAATGATATGATCAACTTATGATTGTACAAATTGTTTACCAAATTTTCTCACAACTACATATCCATAATAGATCTTAATGCATTGACAGATCATTTTCTTATCTGCATTTTTTCTTCAATTGCCTTTTATTTGTATCTGAATGTAGCAATTGTTTAGAAACAGTCAACCCTAGCCATTTTCCTAATAATATGTTCTCTTACTAGCATGAAAGTTCATCTGAGTTGTAAAATACATAAGAATAAATGAGAATTAAACTGAACAAAATTGACTTACCAGAATTTTTTCAGTTAGAGAATAGTAATTTATCCTTATTAAATATGTTCTCTTAATTTCATGCCTTCACAGATTAAGTAAAGATGAGTTTTACGCCGAAGACGCCCCAAACGTCGCAGGGGCGACAGTTCTCGGCCACCAGTGCGAGATTACGTGGTCGGTCCAGCCAGGGTCCGCACAGATACCCGCAGATCCAACAGCGAGGTTTCTACTCCGATATTCTTCCACACCAGGCTGAGAGAAACCTGGGGGTAAGTAACTTAATATGTGTTGTCATTTGTTGTCACAAGTGACCACATATAATATTATGTACTAAGGCCACACCAATTTAATTTGTTGCTTCTCGCATCGCCCTGTCCATTTTTTTCTGATTTGCAAAAAAAAAAATTTTTTGTTCTAAATTAACTGCAAAATGCTCAATGAAAGACATATTTTGACCCCAACGGTTGAAGAAAGTCCTTTTCTTCCTAGTTCTTAAAGTTTTTCAATGTAAGAATGCAATTTTGTTTCATTAAAAGTTCAAACTCTATTGTTTTAATTATAGTTACCAGCCTGGTATGTTCACTTCATGGCTCATATTGTAACATTTCTGGCTATCATGGGGTGCCTTGGCCTGTTTTTTTTTCATCCTGTCGCTTCATGTTTTTTCTGAAAAAATCTGAGAAACAACAAATTAAATTGGTGTGGCCTAAGGACCTGGCCAATGTGTCCATCTTTTTGTGTTCCATAGATAATTTGTCCCATCATTGACACATCTTGTCTCTGGGTTTTGATGATGTTGGGCCTAAAACAATTTGTAGATTTTCCTTGAAGTGCTATACTATCAGAATTCTAGTTGTATATAATTATTAACCAATCCTTCTATGCGTTTACAGAATGTTTTAAGTGGGCCACAAACACAGCAGGACACACTATGGAATATTGGGAAGGAAAAACACACTCCAAAAGGTATGTCAACTTTGCCTTTAAAAAGTACATTTTCTGGCACTTCAACAAAGAATAGACTTTTTAAGAGATTTTTTGGATCATTTATTATCCAGGAAGTTGTCCTTTAAACGTTCAACTTAAAGAAGAAGCAAAAAAAAATGTTTGAAGCTCAGTGTAAAAATCGTAGGCATGAAAAAAGTGCTGCGTAGTCAGTGAAACCTAAGACAGCAGCCCCATGTTGTAACAATAGACAGTGCCCTTTGTTTGTAAGTCTATTTTGATCAGTGTACATTGTCAACTACACTATACAACCTGTTTAGGCTCTTATTGTGTAACTGTAATAGTATATGACTGGCAATACAATACCATGTCACGTCATTATTGTAGACTGGTTTGGACGATTTCAAATCAAGATAAAGCCAGAATATCTTGATTAAAGGGAAGAAAAAGTATTTTTCACTAAATTTTGATCTGAAAACACTTGGATTCTATAGTAAACAGTTGATAGTGCAAGCACGGTATAGGAATTGAGTTAGGCCTTCTTGGTTTTGCCAATTTTTTTAATTCCTTCATCAGCTTTTGAGAAAATCAAATGCGTAGTCCAGTCGTTAGCGTCCCCTGCCTCTCAGGACTAAGAGGTTGGGAGTTTGAATCCCGGCTGTCGTCACTCACCCGACATGCAAGCTATTGGAAAGTGTCGCAGTCCTTAGGACACAACGAGCATGTTCATTGTGCTTGTCAAAAAGAGCTAGGGGAATTTCCCTGGTACAATGAACCAGTAAATACTGTACACAGCGTCTGTCTTTTCTGTCACGACCAGTGGAAGATTAGCTCTGAAGTGAGCTTAAACTGGTTCAAGATCACTTTGAAATTCACTTTTTACACCGTTCTGTATCTGTATCTGTATCAGTATAGCCAGTATGACCGCCATTCGGCGTAACACGCCAGCTTCGCAGGCACTTGGCGCAGCGGCAGCTAGCTGTATCACACTGAACGACCTGTAACCGTTCCTTGTATTTTCCAGTCACGACATTCCAGACGCCCCAGGACATGAAACCTCTGCTTGAGAAGCAGGTTTATGGACCAACCACAGAGATCCTGACAAAGTCAGACTTCCCCGAGAAAGCCTTCGCGCCCAAGGTGCAGCTTCCTTACTACGTCGAGCCTGGGAAGACACCAAGGAAGATAGAAATGGAAAGGTAAGAAGACACCCCCATTTTGGAACAGGTCATTAGGCCACACCAATTTAATTTCTTGG